GGTCAGGAATCCTGCTATCCTACAAAGCGCAGGAAACACATATTCCTCCCCCAGCCCCCAGCAAGAAATTATCCAGCCTAAAAGTCTATAGTGCCAAAGTCAAGAAAGCCTATACCAGGTCCCGCTCTAGCAGTTAATTTCTGTGTCCAGTAATTCCTCTTTGGTGATCAAGTGCATAGGAGCTGGGTTAGGCTATCCTGTGGCAAGTAAGTCTGCACATCATCACATTTTGGCTGCTCATTTAGAGGGCCAGGTTGGACTCAGTTTTAGGGTTGAATTGACTTTCAGATTATTTCTATGGCACCCAGACTTGACCTATAAGCCAGGCAAGACTGCTTTCTGGCTTTTATTGTCCTTATAGGAAATGGTGCTAGATTCAGCAGGTTAGGCAATCAAGAGGCATCTAAATATTTGAAGTATTTCATCTTTGAGTGTATTAGAAAAGCGGATCTCAAGTCCCACCCCAGACCGATTGGAAACAATTTGCATTTTAACATGATCCACAGAGAAGCACTGTTCTAATATACATTGAGGAAAAAAGGAAGAGAGAAGAAAGACAATGCTTATATGAGCAAAATGAGATAGATAATCAGTGTCTTGATCCTTGACTATAGTACTGTATCCAGTTCAGGGACAATCTTACAGAGGACCGTCAGTAGGTCAGAGGAGAGTTATGAAAATAAAAACTGCTTTCTGAGGATCAGATAAGGAAATCATAGTTATTGAGCTCAAAGACAAGAAAACTAAGCAACATGAAGAGTTCAATCTTGTGATCTATTAATATGCTAAAAATTAAAAGGCTGACCCCCAAATGGTTTTGTGGTAAAATGAAAACCTCCTTCTAAAGGCCTTAAAAATAGGATGACTTAACTTTACTTAGAGGATAGATTTTAAAAGCTCTTTGTAGCGAAACCTAGAAAGCACTTAAATTCATAATGATTTTAGAATTACAGAATTTTAGAACTGGAAGGTAGTTAGGGATAAAACTCACTCAGTCTAGTCATTTTACAGAAAATAAAATGAATTCCAGAGAAGAAAAATAATTCACCAAAGTCACAGAGCAACTTAGCAGTTAGAGCTGGGACTAGAATTCAGGTCTCTTGACTCAACATCACCTAGTTTTGAAGAATTCTTTTATTACTTAGTTCTGTGACCTCACCAAGCTTGTTTTCTTATATAAAAAATTGGAGAAATATTCCTATTTTGAAAGATTTTAAGATAAAATGAGTTTATACTTAAATTATGTATGTAGTAATGCTTATCCCTTCCTAATATACTAACCATGTCACACTTCAGTACTGTCCTCTTATTTTACTATAGGAGTTCCTTAAAGGACAGGGATCTTTCCTCTCTCCCTCCCTCCCTCCCTTCCTTCCTTCCTCTTTACAATTCTATCAATTTTTTACCTCTTCATTCCATTTAAATTGCAAAAAATGTGAATTTAGATTTAAGATTTTAATCTTAAACAATATTTATTAATACAGGTAAATACTTATAGTTTTAAGTGGCAAAAGCAATATAACAATTATAAGAATAATCCATCTATGTCAAAGAGCACATATATATACATATACACCTATATGCATATATACACAGACACACACACACACATACATATATACAAACACCCTTGGAGAAAATTCTGAAAGGATTTGGTGTATGGTGACATTATGAGCAATCAGTTTGCAAATGTTACCCAAGCAGTGAAGAAGCACTGGGGCCTTTGGACTGTAAGCAGTTGTTGATAAAGCTTTTATCTGGAAGTTGCTGGAGAAGGTCTGGGCACAGATCTGGCTTCATGTGTGACCTGTGCAACCAGAAGGCCCCACTCTTGGTTTAATGCTTTGCTGTCTTGAAATTCTTAATAATCTTTGAACAAGAGGTGTCTCATTTTCACTGTGTTCTGGGTCTCTCAAATTATGCGGTCAGTCCTGTCTGAGCAGCTCAGCTCTGGCCCATTCACTGGTAGATGGTTGCAGGGTGCGCTCTATCTCTCAGGAGGTCTTGATTTCTTTAAATTTGTTTTTCTTTTTAAAAAAGTACAGTCATATTATAAAAAATTAGAAAATGGATTAGCAGAAAAAATTAAGTCATCCTCGAAACTCTCAAAGGCAGAGACATTTTCATAAGCATCTCTTCATACATCACGATGTTCAGTGTCTAGTCAGAAGAATAAAAAGCAATTCATTACTTTAGAGTATGAATTGCCAAACATAATTACAAAATAGGTATGTGTATGAAAATTAGGCAATTCCTTGAGATTAGCTTTTGTGTTAGTTTTTTATTGCTATGTAACAAATTACTACAAATTTAGCAGTTTAAAACAACACAAAAACATTGTCACAAATATCTGTAGGTCAGAAATCTGGGCATGGTGTGAGTGGGTTCTCTGCTCAGAGTCTCACCAGGCTGAAATCAAGGTGCCAGCCTGGGCTGTGTTTCTCATCTGGGGCTCACAGTCCTCTTCCAAACTCAAATGTTTGGTGGTAGAATTCGCTTCCTTGCAGTTAATTGTAGGATTGTGGTCCCTGTTTCTTTGCTGGCTGTCAGCCAGGGGCTGCTCTCAGCTCCAGAGGCTGTCAGCATTCCTTACTATATGCCTTCTTCCATCTTTAAACCAACCATGGCACGTTGAATCTTTCTTGGGTTTTGAATCACTGACTTCCTTTTCTGCTACCAGCCAGGAAAACTCTCTGCTTTTAAAGGGCTCGTGTGTTTAGGTCAGGTCCACCGGACAATCTATTTTAAAGTCAATTGTGCCATAAAACATAACCTAATCATGGTAGTAAAATACATCAGATTCACAGTACTGGGTATTATGCTCGGCATGTACACAAGGGTGTGGGAAATCTCAAGGGACCGTTTTAGAATTCTGCCTACCACGGCTATCCTAGAATCTCGTGTGAAGAACACGAGGTTCCTCTACCTCTCTATTCAATAGTCTTCTTCGATTCCCATTTTTAACTCTAGCATCTCTATAAGTTCACAGTTCAGCACAGTAAAACTGGTCACAAAGAATTTGCTTAGCTATGAGGGGAACACAAAGATTCTTTTGTTTTCAAAGGAAAAATTTTAGAGAACAAGAGTCTTACATTTTATTGTAAAAAGCCTAGTGTGTATCAATATATTTGTTTCATTAACTCTAACATAATCTAATGAGACAATAAGGCACATATTAAATTTAGATATGCTTACATTTTAAAATAAAAATTAAGACCAGATTATCTAGAAAGAATAAAACGTAAGATTTAGAAAAGATTAACACAATTTAATGCCAACATGTTTGTATCTTCCATATATGAAGTACTCAGGAAAAAGATAAGCAGAACACAAGACCCTACAGATAAATGAGCAAAGGACATGTCCAGACATTTAAAAAGAGGAAACAGAACAGACTAAAAGTTGGACTTCAGTGAACTAACATTGAGTGCATCGTATGTGTGTGAGGTGTTGGCATATATGACAAGTACAGGGCTGCTATTCAGACACAGGAACTGTTATGTCTGTGGCCAGAATCCATTCTTGTTTGGTGCTTCTGTTCTGATTGGTTGGTGCCTGTATTGCAGTGGTTGCATGTCGCAACTAAAGATCCCCCATGCCGCAGCAAAGATCCCAAGTTCCACAACTAAGACCTGGTGCAGCCAAATAAATAAATAAATAAAATTGAAAAAAAAAGAAACTTGAGGTGTTGAGAGGCTAGTAATTTACCCAATCCAGGGCTAGAATTCAAATTCAGGTCTTTTAATCTAGAGCAGAGCTTTTAATCACCATGTTACATTAGGAATGAAAAATGAGATACTACAATTTCTGTTCCTGGAGGAACTAGGATTGGACTAACCATTCCACTGTAAACAATAAGAAAACTGGGCAAAGTATATGAAATAGCAGTTTTCAGGCACTGGACAACAGGCAGTGCAGGAATGTGATCCCTGAGAGAAGGGAAACAGATGAAGTGAGCCCTATAATTGCCTGCATTTCTGCCTGGAGACATTTCCCAGCCTGAGGTGCAGGGAGGGAGAATCCCAAGCGGACCATGGTAGTCTCACCGAGTTGAGGAGATGGAGATAAGTTTGGGGAGGCACAATTGGCTTTTTGTAGGACAGAGCTAAATGGAGAGAGAGTTTCAGAAATCTGTAAGAGGGGTTGTCCCCATGAGTCTATGGCTGGATACTAAGACACAGGCATAGGGTGAAATACTATAAGTCTGGGCAAAGAATGATCCCAAGAACTATAAATCAAATAATTCCCAGAGTTCACATAGAGCTTGAGGATAACTGAGTTCCAATCAGAGCCAGAGAAGCACATGGTTTTACACATTGGGGAACAAAGAAGGAAAGGGGACAAACAATGCTTATGTTAAAAAGGCAAAAGAAAAAAAAAAAGACGGATAGAGGAATGGACAGGTATGTGATAAAACAAGCGGAGTAAAATGTTCTTTGGGTTTTTAAAAACTATTTATTTATTTATCTATTTGGCTGTGTTGGGTCTTAGTTGCGGCACGCGGGCTCCAGAGTGCGCAGGCTTGGTAGTTGCAGAGCGTCGGCTGTAGAGCATGCAGGCTTAGTTGCGCCGCAGCATGCGGGACCTTAGTTGCCTGACCAGGGATCAAACCCGTGTCCCCTGCATTGGAAGGCAGATTCTTAACTACTGGACCACCAGGGAAGTCCCCAGAGTAAAATACTAATGGTAAAATCTAGACAGTAGATATCCATGTGTTGACTGCAAATTAAAGGATTAATACGGGAGTATTATGAAAAATTTTATGCCCATAAATTTCTCAACTTACATGAAATGGACAAAGTCCTTGAGAGACACCATGGTGGTTTAAAAGCATGTCCAACACCATGGTGGTTTAAAAGTACCTCCACTGAAAGGTAGAGCCTAATTCCCCTCCTTTTGATTGTGGGCCTTTGTATTGTTGTGGTTTTTTTTAACATTTTTTTTTTTTGATGGGGACTATTTTTAAAGTCTTTATTGAATTTGTTATAATATTGCTTCTGTTTTATGTTTTGGTTTTTTGGCTGCGAGCCATGTGGTATCTTAGCTACCCAACTGGGGATCGAACCCACACCCCCTGCATTGGAAGGCGAAGTCTTAACCACTGGACCGCCAGGGAAGTCCCTGTATTCTGTTTTAGAATACAAATAGAATATAGTGGAATGGATGGTGTTTGATTTCTGAGACTAGGTCACTAAGGCATCATGGTTTCCTCTTTGCCCTCTCTCTTGGATTGGTCACTTGGCAGGAAACCATGTCTTCAGGACATTCAAGCAACTCTCTAGAGATGCCCATGTGGTTGGAAATTGAGGCCTCCTGCCAGCAATCAGCAGCAAATTGAGATTCCTGATAACAATCAGTGAGGAACTGAGGTCTCCTGCCAAAAGCCATGTGAGTCAGCCACCTTGCAAGCAGAGCCTTCAGCTCTAGTCAAGCTTTCGTATGACTAGAGCCCTAGCTGACATCTTGCCCTATTAGAGATCCTGAGCCAGAACAATCCAGTTAAGGGCTCTTCAATTCCTGAGCCACAGAAACTGTGAGATAATGAATGCTTAGTTTTAAGCTGTTAAATTCTCAGGTAACTTACTATGCAGCAAGAGATAACAAATACAGTCACAAACTACCAAAGCTTACTCAAGAAAACTATACAACCTTTACCTATAATCTACAAAAGAAATCAAACTAGTAGTTAAAACCGTCCAGCAAAGAAAACTCCGGGCTTAGATGGCGTCCTTGAATTCTATCAAACATTTAAGAAAAAAATAATATCAGCTGTTAGTTTAATTGTTGCTCCTTTCAATGTCATCTTTTTTTTTTTCCCTCTAGCTATCTGATGCTTTTTCCATCATTGGTTATTGGCAGTTTTACAAGAATGTGATTTCATGCGGTTTTCATTTTATTTTCCTGTTTGGGGTTCATGAGGGCTCTTGAATCTGTGGTTTGATGTATTTCGGCAACTTTGTAACGTTCTCATTCTCTCTTAAAATATTGCTTGTTTCATTTTCTTTCTCCTCTCTTTCTGGGATACCAATTTCCTATGTTAGATCTTGCTATATCTTCTATGTCTTAATTTCTCTTCTGTATTTTCAGTTTTGTCTCTTTCTGCATTATTCTGGATATTTTCTTTGAACTTGTGTTTATTCACTAACTCTCTTCAGCTATGCCTATTGTCAAATCCATCCATTAAGATTCTAATTTCAGTCATGTTATTTTTCAGTTCTAGTATTTCCATATTGTTTATGTAATTTTCAGTTCTTTGCCAAAATTCTCATAAGTTTAGTTTGTGTCTGTAAACTCCAATACTTGGAGGTCATGCAGATCTATTTAAATAAAAACTTCTGCTGGTGTTCATTTATATCTCTTGGTGTAGCTACTTTTTCCTATGTGCTTTACAATGTACTTACAAAACTGTTTAGATTTTGAGGCCTATTGCATTAATTTTCTATTGCTGCTAACAGTTTTACCACAAACTTAGCATCTTCAAACAGACATTTATTATCTCATAGGTTCCGTGGGTTAAGAGTGCAAGCACAGCTCAAAGGGCCTCTGTTTCAGGGTCTTACAAGGCTAAATCAAGGTGTCAGCCTGAGCTGTGATCTCAGCTGAGGTTCCACTATGAAAGGATCCACTTCCAAACTTACATGGTTGCAGTATTCAGTTCCCTGCAGACTGTTGGACCAAGGACCTACTTCTTGCTTTTGGCTAGAGACCACCCTCAGTTGCTTGCCATGTGGCCCTCTCTGAAGGCCAGTTCACAACATGGCAGCTTGCTTCTTTAAAATTAGCAAGGGAGAGAGTTCCCTAACAAGATGGGCATAAGGATCTGATGTAATATAATCATATACACATAAATGATACATCCCATCATCTTTGTGGTATTGCATTAATTAGAAGCAAGTCCTAGATCACCTTCTCCACACATACACTCCCCCCCCACACACACAGAGAATACGAGCTTATAGGGATCATGGGGGGTTACCTTAGAGTCTGCCCACCATACTAAGGATATTAACTTCCTCTAAGAGAGTTCAGATTTGCTTTAGTCAAGCACCTTGGAGTTCTAAAAATCTTAGATAACTTCAGTCCAATTTCAGGGATTGAGAGTATTCAAAGGTGAGCTGCCTGTTCAAGCTCCTTCCCTCACATCAACTTTCTGGCCAGCAAGGAGGACAGTGAGAGAGAAGGTTGCACCCTCATTTAAATTTCACTGGCCAATACTTAGTCACAATGCTCCTTCCTAACTGCAAGGAAGGATGAAAAATATAGCTTTTATTTCAGATGGTCATATGCCTGGGAAAAATGGAAAGAAGTAGAGTACAAAATTGAGGTAAGTGCAACTAGTGGACTCTACCAAAAATGGTTAATAGGTAGATTATATTTTTAAATTTATTCCCCGAGAGATTAGTCTTATATTTTACTTTCTTTGGTATTTATTTCCGAAGTATGTCTAGCAGTTACAGATCTTTAAAATAAGCCTAATGCTTAGTTCACATAAGAATACACTACTTCCAAATCAGTTAATTTTAGAGATAGGGATGCAGTATCTATTGCCCAAGTGTTCATTAATTTCACACTTTCCTTTTGAAATGAAATACAAATTAATGTTCTTCAAGTATTTTAAATTTATATCATTATTACAGACTGTAACTCCAGAATGCTGATTTAATCAGTATGTTATTTCTGTTTGGCAATGAAATATTGAGTGATACAATATATAGCTTGTAGGAATACTCAACATTTAAGAAACTGTTTCATATAGGGATATTAGAAAAATATCAGCTGACCTAGAAAGTTGTACAGTACTGTGTTAATTTCTAGGCTCACATGTTTTAGGCATAAATATCCCTTACGTAATAATGTTAGGATTTTCTTTTCCATATAGAAAGCTCCAGAAATAAAAATGTTCAATGTAATTTTATGGGAAAAAAATTGGTACTCTATTTTTCTCCAGGTTGAAAAAGTAAACTTTGTTTTGCTTTAAATTAACAGGCTAGATTACGTTGAAACACTTACTCTTTTTTTAAATTTTATTTATGAAACACTCTTATACATTGTGATTTCTCTACAAGTTGAGGCAAGTAACAAATTATAAATTATGCAAGAAAAAAAAAATACTACTTTCATTTTTAGTAGTTGTAGATCAAGTAATTTGGACCAGATCTTCTACAGAGTACATCGGGAAAAGCTGATAGCTGAACACAATTTTTAAAGTATCTGCTTAAAGACATGAGAGAGCTGACAATAACTGTCGGCTAAGGAAGCACAGAAACTTAGGTAGGTGAGCTTCTTTTCCGTGAAAGGGTTGGCCAATTCTGTAAGTGGTATCTGACATACTGAGTGGCTATCTTGACAGTCTTCGTGGGACCCAGGTGAAGAGGTATTGGAGTATGAGGCCTGCAGTGATAAACCCTTCCCCTTACTTTGAATAGGATCCCAAAAGGCTGTCCATCATGAGTAAGAGTGATTCAGAAGCAAACAGGCCTTCAAAGGCCTGTTTATGAATATGACCATCTGAAATAAAAGCTATATTTTTCATCCTTCCTTGCAGTTAGGAAGGAGCATTGTGACAATGTATTGGCCAGTGAAATTTAAATGAGGGTGCAACCTTCTCTCTCACTGTCCTCCTTGCTGGCCAGAAAGTTGATGTGAGGGAAGGAGCTTGAACAGCAATCTTGGATCATAAGTTGGAAGTCAAGTGCTGAGGTTGGTAAAGCAACACAGAAACTTTGAGATACTTAACTCTGAAATTCTTTTAAGTGAGATGGAAAACTTTTTCTTTTTTTAAAGCCACTGTTATTTGGGGTTTTAGTTTTATGCTGCTGTATTTAATCTTAACTGATACACATTTCAATTATTGGCGTATTACTCCTTTATTAGAAATTGTAAATGAGAAATTATTTCAACACCTGAAGACCAAGATACAACAGAAGACTCCATAGGCTCAAGATTTTGAGACATCTTAGAAAGAGTTTTCTGTAAAGTATATCCTTTCCGTGGCATGGCAACATCATTCTTCTTTAAAAAGGTTACTGGACAGACATCGTTTCCGCCATCACCTATATAAACAATTCGTGTATAATTCACTCCTCGTTGTAACTGTTTACCTACAAATTCTACCAAAACTACATTTTTGCAAAGATTTGGGGGGCACCTAGTGCAAGAATGAGCATGATAATTTTCCACAGTGAGATGGCCATCGCTGTCAAAAGCTGCTGGATTTGTAAAGACTTTATCAAACACGTCATGAACATTGCTAGCTTCTAAAACCCAATCTATGAAGACTGAATTTGAATCTGAAATAATGATGCAGTCAAATTTATCCTTGTTCTTTCTTATAAAGTTTAAAAGTTCCACCATCCCTGGAGTGAAAGGCATTGATATCATTGCTCTTTTCATTTCATCTTCTCTTACACCTTTATCTCCCAAATACTTAAAGACTCTGCCCATAAATTCTGTCCAAAATCCTTTTTCATAAGAATCTTGTAGTTCAATAGGAAGCTTTTTCTCTGGAGCACACTGTACAATCCAGGTATCGCTATTATCATCTATGATTGTATTGTCAAAGTCAAAAACCAACAAAATTTTCATGGTTCCAGAACCAGATTTGGGTTACCCTGGAAAAGAAGAAATATTATTCCCTAAACATACTCGGTTCTACATATCTAGCTATAGTATCTATTTAACAAAATTACTCTTAATCTGCTGAAACAAAGGCTGAATATAAACAAGTTAAAATGACTAAGCATTCTAAGACTACCGTTTAAGCACTTTTTCCTAAGAAGCAAAGTTCATATTTGAGTATGCTAAATGAATGGAAAACAGAACATATAAAAAGGATACTCAGGGTATTATTGTGTTCCTGAGGGGGTGATTCTTTGAGCACTCAGAATTAAACTAGAGAGCAATCTAATGAGAGAAGTAATGAAACAATTATTCCCTTACACTTTAATTTAGAAAAGTTATAAAATAAGACAGAAAAAAATGTAGGCTAGTCATTCTTATTGTCTTTAAATTATCAATCACAAACTTATTAGTTTAAAATGTTTATAATGAGCCTCATTTTAAATAATAGGTCATGTACAATACATATTCTCTGTGAACTAACCAAAACTCTGACCAAATTTAACATAATGTGAAATCTTGCAAAATTTAAATAATTTTTTAAAAAAGGTTTTTAGCTTGAAATCATCGTTGTCAATGTTATAACCAAATGGTTGCTTGATGTTGTACTTGAAAGTCTAAACAAATTACTTGAACTGGAGGTCAGTTGAATTCTTCCACACTAGAAGTAACTTTTGTTAACAATTTTCACATTTATTTATATTTTCTCTAGATAGTTTAGCTCTGGAGTACCAAATAATCTGGATATATGTGAATAATCACACTGCTTTTGATATGACAATTACTCAAGTCTCTGTTTTCATTAATAGATAATGAAGATCATTAACTTAAATCTCAAGAGAAAAGGAATGAATCAATAGATGGTATAAATGAAAATTATCATGTAAAAAAGATAATTATACAGAATTCCCAGGAAAAGCTACAATTAGTGTCTGTAAACAACAACAAAAATTTTTTTTAAAGAGTAACTGTTATTTTTATAGATATCACTATATGCCAGATACTGGACTAAGAACCTTACAATCTCATCATCTGTCATAAACCCATTTAGTAGGAATTATTATTATCCTCATCTTAAAGATATATAACTGGGGCTTAAGTATTAATTAAGTTGGTTAAGTATTAGTTAAATGGCAGAGCTAGAATTTGGACTCAGGTCTGCCTGACTCCAAAGTTCATGCTTTAGTAATACACTCTAGTGCCTAAGAAATAGAATAACGACTATTAATCAGTTTAAAAATAAAATATTAAGTAGGTCATTTTGACGAAAAGATGTTTAATAACATGAAAACATTCATTAATCTCGAAGTACACACTAACCATCTGTGATCTACTTTACAACCATTCTGAAGTTTTAGCAAGAAATCCTAAAATGAAAAGTGAAGAACCCCACCAATAAGAAAAAGAAGAGATCAATTAAAAATAGAAAACATGGGGGACTTCCCTGGTGGTCCAGTGGTTAAGAATCCACCTTCCAATGCAGGGGATGCAGGTTCGATCCCTGGTCGCGGAGCTAAGATCCCACATGCTGCGGGGCAACTAAGCCTACGCACTGCAACTGCTGAGCACGGGGGCCACAACTAGAGAATGCATGTGCCGCAAACTATAGAGCCCAAGCGCTCTGGAGCCTGCGCACCACAACTAGAGAGCCTGTGCGCCACAACGAGGAGCCCACGTGCTGCAATGAAGATCCCGAGTGCTGCACATAAGACCCGACTGACACAGCCAAAAAAAAAAAAAAAAAAGAAAACATGGCATTTATCTACATGTATTCTCTGGTTTATAATGATAGATATCCAGCAGGTGAAACTGAGAATGAGCTCACGACTCATATAAGAGTAAGTATTTTTTGCCTCTCAATTTAGAATATCTGGAGAATAACAAACCTAGAGGATGTATCTCCTGTTGTATGAATTTAGATGGTATAATGGTATGAAGTATTCTGATACCCTGGATCCATGAATTGCTAAATGTCTAATCCAGGTGTCCCTGATTGGCTTCCAGAGATTTAAGTGCAGAAATCACTTTCCCATAGAAACAATGTAATAAATAGCAATAAAGCACAGTTGACAATCACGTTGGTAATGCACCTAAGCACATTTTAAATTAAAATGCTTTTTAGGCATTCTGAATTTATACACAATTAAAAAAATTTTTTTCAAATGTAACTCACTGTTGGTTGCAAAGTGTTTCAAACCTAGACTTAATCAGCCACAAATTACTAAAATTCCTTCACTATTAACCTCCAAATAAGCTGTATCATAAGCCTGAAGTTAACAAAGTTCCAACTGTTAACTTAGTTCCACTGTTGACTATTAATTTCTATCTACAAGTGTACTTTTCTTAATTTCAGATCTTTTTCCATTAGTTTTTTCCCACCACTCAACATAAACCTATATTTAAAATACTTACCCAATTTAGTATTTCCAAGACAATTAATCTTACTTCAGCATGGAGCTTAGGTTAAACAGTCATGACAATCTTCAGTTTTAAACACCAGCCAGTTTCTAACCAACATTACTCCTACTCTATATGCAGGGGAAAAAGTCTTCTGATTCCAAGCAAAGGAATGGAGACTTCTTAACTCCTAAAATTAATAAAAGTAGTTAAGATATTTAAAAATTTACCTTTTCTAATATGTTTTCTCTTACATCAGAAAAGCACCTATGGCAATGGGAGGAATAAAATTTTGTTTAAACAAAAACCTTAAATACAAAACAGGGAATGTTATGTGAGTATAAACTCTTATTCAGTGGATAAAATCACAGGTGTTAGGTTGATTATGTTAAGATTTCCAGATTCCAGTTTTTCTTTTTACCTATTAAATAACAGACAAATACCAAATTCTGTTGTCAATAAACTTTCAAAGATTTAGTGCTGTACTTGAAATAAAAATGTCTCCAAAAATTAAGGATGTGTAGAAAGATTTAGTGAAAGTGAATCTATTTTGAAATCAGTTTGTTAAAATGCCAGAAGCAGTTATTAACTGTTCTCTCCAGAAGCATGTTCTCTCCAGAAGTATATATTTTGTATGTCTGCAATGTTTCCAGGGTCTAACAATAGTCTATGTGCTTTTTTACAATACTGAAAACTAGAAACTACATAGACATCCAAGAATAGGGGATTGCTTAAATAAGATATGTACATGATAGCCATATAACAGACCATTTATTTAGCGAGTAAAAGGTTAAGATGTTCAAATTAAACAAGTCACAAAACAGTGTTTACAGTATAATCTCATTTTTGCTTTTAAAAAAGTAATGTCTGTATACAGTGGTAGCATCAATTGCAATGCATTCTTTTCCTACGCTGATTTTGTAATAAAATATTTTCCCCGGAATAATTTAAGCTCTGTTTCAGATCAAAGTGCATATGCTACCTTCTTAATTTCACAACAAAGAAAAAAAATGAGTGGTGGCCATGGAAGGTAAATAACTAATTCTAGATACACTTGGCTGTAAAGATCCATGGATTAGAGTTAGAACCAGGTGTTGTAAGTCAAATGATACCTGAACACTACGCCAAACTGGCAAATTACTGACACCAAATATTGTAAGATTCAATAATTTTTGTAACCAATTTAGTTAAAATTCCACAGAATTTTTGTTAGGAGGTAATCTCCATGGGTCTCTAGTGGCTCTGCATATCTTACAAGGTACTCACTGCCCTTTGCTCTGGATATCGTCTCAAAAATGTATGTAAGGGCTTCCCTGGTGGCGCAGTGGTTAAGAATCCGCCTGCCAATGCAGGGGACACAGGTTCCAGTCCTGGTCCTAAGAAGATCCCACATGCTGTGGAGCAGCTAAGCCCATGAGCCACAACTACTGAGCCTGTGCTCTAGAGCCCGTGAGCCACAACTACTGAGCCCACATGCCACAACTACTGAAGCCTGCACACCTAGAGCCCGTGCTCCACAACAAGAGAAGCCACCACAATGAGAAGCCCATGCCCCACAAAGAAGAGTAGCCTGGCTCACTGCAACTAGAGAAAGCTCGCGCGCAGCAACGAAGACCCAATGCAGCCAAAAATAAATAAGTAAAAAAATAAATAAATTTATTTTTTAAAATGCATGTATAGTGAACAGTCTTGAAAGGCATGCTTATTGTCCATTATAATAAAGATCTGGATGCCCTAAGCTCAGGGTTCCTGTCCTGTAATGCAACACACTCCATGTGCAGGTGCCTTCTGGCACTCTTTGCATCATCCTGTGGCAACTGGGGCAAAATTACTGATATTCTGGCTACAGCTACTGCTGTAATTCATCACTGTTCTAGGGGTCTGCATCTTCTACAGAACGGTGGCAGCCTAAGTTGTCAGCATACAAGTAGGGTAAAATCTCTGACTCTTCCCAGTTCTTGACTATTTACTATTTTTTTTTTTTTTTTTTTGGCGGTATGCGGGCCTCTCACTGTTGTGGCCTCTCCCATTGCGGAGCACAGGCTCCAGACGCGCAGGCCCAGAGGCCATGGCTCACGGGCCCAGCCGCTCCGCGGCATGTGGGATCTTCCCGGACCGGGGCATGAACCCGTGTCCCCCGCATCGGCAGGTGGCCTCTCAACCACTGCACCACCAGGGAAGCCCAACATTTTTAAAACTATGATTCCAAAACACCACCAATGTTGTATGTGCAAAAACTATATTTCTGCCAACAAATATTTTATTAATCCTTTCATACTTACCAGCATTATTACGATGGATCGATCATCTGATAGAAAACCTGAAGAAAAACAGTACAACTATGTGTTAGAACTTCAGTGATTAAAAATCTTACCTCCTTTCATATTGAGCAACTCCAGTTTGATGCCTAATGTGTATGTGTCATAGCCAACTACCTTGTAATGTAATTATTTGTACCTCGACGTGTTAGAAAAGGATCTTTTGAAACGTAGCCCATATTCACTTTTAACAGGGTTTTGTGTCCTTAGAGGTCTGATTGGTCCTCCAAATACATTCAATTTACTATACTGTATTTACCGAGCAATTAAAGATATCTTAAAGGCTCTAACATGAATGTTATAATCCAAGTTTTAACACTGCGATTTAAAAAAAAAAAAAGAAAACTAAGCCCCGTCTAGCCCAGATCATGCGTTAGAAACCAAAATATTTAAAAACAGATTTTCTGTCAATTAATCCCTGAGTTTCTATAGTTGAGGGAGGAGGGCTTTGCCGTTCACCTTCCCCCGCGAGGTCTGTGGGTCACACACGACAAGCCCAGGCCTCGCTCTCCCGCACACCTGCCGGGTACATCCAGAAGCCAGGGGCAGGGACCTAGTCGGGTGTCGTTTCCCGAGAGGCGCACGTTGGATGCCGATGGGAGCACCAGGCCGGGCCCAACCGGGTCCCAGGGCTCGTCACTGACCCAGGCCAGAGACCCGCAGCCGTTCTGGCCTCGGCGCCGCTTCCGAGGGCTCTGTCCTCCCGCCCACTCCGGACGCCTGCGCCTGCGGGGGAGGACCGCCCCACTCGCACGCCTGGCCTTGACTTCCCGCGCAGGCGCATCCTCCCTTCTCCGGCACCACAGCCCACAGCTGCGCGTTCTTCGTTCCTCGGCTACGACTGTTGTCACTTCCGGCGGCGTTGCTAAGCAACTGCGCGGTTTAGCGGAAACTTCGGCGTCGGAAACGCCTTTCCAAGTCTGAGAGCGCCATGGGTACCTCAGAGATGCTGGTGCGGCTCGGAAGGCTCTGTGGACGGGCCAAGGAAAGCACGGGTGAGCTAAAATGGTCCATCCCACCACAGGGATTGTTTCTGGTCTCCAGGCATGGAGTGAGAGGCGAGCGTGCCTTTCCTTCAGAAACGGGCTCCACCAAGCCAAAAACAGCACCGTGGGCATCGTCGGGCTCTGTGTAAATTAGACAGTTTTGCCCTTGGATGAATGGGTAGGTGGGGAAAGTATACAGAAATAAGGGTAGAGAAAAAGAAGTCAGAGACTCCCAGTTGACCAGCTGGCCCGATACTCAAGCTGTGCCGTTGCCGGTCCAAGAGTCTGGTGTTTGCTGAATTTTCTCGCACTTAAGCTTTGTTATTCATTGAGTGAATCGGAATGTATTTTGGAAATATCAGTGACCTCATTAGAGTCTTGACTCTGCTGTGAACCTACTGAGTACTCTTAGGAAAGTGTCTGAAGGTAAATCTCAATTTCTTCAACTGTAAAATGAAAGTAAGGTCTCATTCTAAGGCGTATACTTTGATAGAGTGTGAAAATAATGCTACTTAAGGTATTATAATTCACATGACCTTTTATAAAAATTTGATTTTATAATAGAAGTAGCCTAGTGAGACATTTAAAGATCTCTTTATTAATTCCAGTGATTTTAGTTTCTTAAGATTGTGAATTCCCAATTAATGTTCTCATGGTGACAGAACCTTGGGAACTTGGACTATCTTCATGTCACCTCCGGAGCTTCTGTAGCAATAGAGTCCCTTGTGCCAAATGCTGAGTGAGAGCCAGCCAGTCTCCCACCAGTGGACACTAGTGGGTATTTATGCTGTGGAGGGCTTAAGAAGTAGCAGCAGAGGGTCATGACATGTAGGAGAGAGACAGTACCCATGTGGCATGTATTGAAAAAACAAAATTACGCTCACATATTCACTTTCCTATATATAAAGTGCTGCATTAAATCAAAAAGAACAACAGCAAAAATTGTCAAAATCAATTTTTGAGAACTCAGGAAACCAAAAGCTTGCAACAATTGGGGAGTGTTTATCAAGGCAAATAACTGAATCTTGGTAAGAACAATGAGGTTTTTTGCACTTTAACTTGTTCTAGTCCCCTTCTTTCTCCCTGCCCTATGGTAGTCTAGAAAACCACTGCGATCACAGTGAAATCCAGTGGCTTAGCAGCCTGTGGAGGGAGCAAAATAGCGTTGAACCCCTTCCAAATCCCATTTCCCAGATAACTTATTATTTGAGCTGTCTGGCAGTTCCTTGGAAACTTATTATTTGACCTGTCTGGCAGTTCCTTGGAAAGTCCCACTCGCAAGACTTGTCTTTATTTGACCTGATTCAGAGCTCACCAGTTATGTTTGTTAAAACAATCAGTGGCAATTTTTAAAAGTTTTAATTGCTTCACTTCTCCAACAGCCATTACTAGCATTGTGTGAAGGTCGCTGTGAGGTAGGAATCATGGAAGTAAGACTGCCCTCTGAGAACTGAACTCTGCATCAATGGAGTAAAGCATGGATATGTGAAATCATTCATAGCTCGGAGGTCAATCAGGGCTCTCCTGATCCTCAAAGATATGAGGGAACTGGGACTTTCCTGGTGGCGCAGTGGTTAAGAATCCGCCTGCCAATGCAGGGGGCATGCGTTTGAGCCCTCGTCCGGAAGACCCCACATGCTGCGGAGTAACTAAGCCCGTGCGCCGTAACTACTGAGCCCGCGGGCCACAACTACTGAAGCCCGCGTGCCTAGAGCCCGTGCTCCACAAGAGAAGCCACCACAATGAGAAGCCCACATACTGCAACGAAGAGTAGCCCCCGCTCGCCATAGCTAGAGAAAGCCCATGTGCAGCAACGAAGACCCAACGCAGCCAAAAATAAACTTATTTATAAGAAAAAAAAAAGACATGAGGGAACTTGGCCCAACTTTTGTTAACCTGAGATAGTAAAAAGCCTTTCCCAAACTTTCCATGGATTGTCCTATTTTTCCTGCTGCTTTTGTGGTGGTTCTCTTGGTTCTCCTCCTGTATCAGAGTTCATGAAAAGTTCTTGAATAAAATATCTCATGAATGTAGTTACTCTACAGAAGATTAAGGTGTCATGAGGGATCACATTGTTCACTACACAGCTTTTTGGCATCTTGTTTTCCTGCCACTGCTGCCAAAGCTTGCTCACCACTGTATACTTTGTAAGGAGCAGCTCCTGCCAGTATGGGCTATTTGGTCTACCCAGCCCCTTTAGTATTTTGGAAAATTAAGTTGTCTCCATTTTATTTCACATCTTAAAGAATTAGAATGACTCTTGGGTCAGAGAAAGAAAAGCATATTTTTTTTCATAAATTTATTAATTTATTTTTGGCTGTGTTGGGTTTTTGTTGCTGCGTGTGGGCTTTGTCTAGTTGTGGTGAGCTGGGGCCACTCTTCGTTGCGGTGCGTGGGCTTCTCATTGCAGTGGTTTTTCTTGTTGCAGAGCACAGGCTCTAGGTGCAGGGGCTTCAGTAGTTGTGGCACACGGCCTCAGTAGTTGTGGCTCATGGGCTGTAGAGCGCAGGCTCAGTAGTTGTGGCACACAGGCTCAGCTGCTCTGCGGCATGTGGGATCTTCCCAGACCAGGGCTCGAACCCATGTCCCCTGCATTGGCAGGCTGGTTCTTAACCACTGCGCCACCAGGGACGTCCAAGAAAAGCATATTAATATGCCTAACAATATGCTAATCCAAAGGCAGGTGGCTTAATCTAATGGCCTTTGTTTATGTAGCTTCTAATTGTAAGTAACACAAACCAAGTTGAGCCACTTTAGGTGAAGCAAAGGAAAATTGTTACAAGGCTATAAGGATGTATTGGTCAGGACTCTTTGGTTACAAGTGATTGATCTAATTCACTGTAGTTAAAAGGGGAATATTTTGGCTCACATACCTGTGAATTTAGGTATAACTCGATCCAGGACACTATTCTACTTCTCAGCTTTGCTTGTCTTTATTCTGCATGTGGAGACTTGGTATATGGTAGGCAAGATGGTACCTGTGGTTCTAAACTCACATTTTAGGTTAACAACCAAATTCTCACTCCCATCAACTTTAATTCAAACCCCAAGAAGACTCTAATTGTCCTAGCAGCTTTTCTCTTAGTATCTTTCTGGAGCCACATGATTTCTTGCCTCTGCTTTTCTACTTCTGTTTCATTCTTCTAATAAAAGCAGTAAAAATAATAATAATTAATATTTATCTCACATATTGTGTGCCAGGCACTCTTCTAAATTCTTTACATATATTACTTCATCTAATTCTTACACCAGCTATATAAAATGAAGTAGGTACTATTAGTATTTCCATATTGCAATTAAGGGGTTAGATTTAGCGGGTTAAATAATTTTGTCTAGATTCACATAGTTCATATGTGGTGTGTTCAGAAAAGGTCCAGGTTGTCTGTCTCCAGAGTCCACACTCTTACCCACTGTGCTTTATTGCCTTTGTTAGGCCTGTGACCACCCACCATTATTCAAATGTATTTCCTATTTTGGTAAATTCTTCTCCTTACAAGTTCTACCTCCTTAAAGCAGAAGGCATTTTTTTCTGCCTCCCTTGCAGCTAGGGTGCAGGCATAAGACCAAGACTCAGCTGGTCAATTGTATGTGTGCTAGATTTACATTCTGAAGAGAGCGTATGAGGAAAGAAACAGCATGTTGAATACATTTTCTGGGGAGAGTGGCAGCAAAAGTGTACCAATTCCAGAGTACTCGTGAAGGTTCACATATATAGTGTCCAGTGGAGCAACTTATAAGTGGGGCAAGTTGAGGTGCCTACCCAATGCCAGTTGCTGTGAATCTTCACTGGAACCTCACAATGTGGTCTGTGTGATATTTGTATGTATATCTTCTAAGGGTAACTCTCTGGCTCTCTGAGAGATTCAGTAGGCTATCTAATATCCCTTAATGAATTCCTTTTCTGCTTAAACTAGCTAGAATGAGTTTGGGTATTTATAAGTAAGAACTTCAGTTGATTAAAAGGGTAGGAACATTTTTTAGAGAAGAGCTGTTATGAGCTCCATTGTGTCATTTAGGATGCTTGTGAATTCATTTCACTGAATACCCAGCTCAATCATGTTTAAAAATAAGGAAATTTATTTGCTCATATAACAGGAACTCCAGCCTTTGGGTCTGATTAATCTAGCAGCATAATGAAATCCTCATTGCCCCAGGGTCTTCCTTTGTTTCTTCTTTGTGTTTCACAGTTCACAGCTTCATCCTAAGGCTGCTTCCTCTTGTGGTCAAAGGATGGCTGCTTGTCTGGCCTTCATGCTTCCTCGTTCGTACCTAGCCTGAGAGTCACTCTCAGATGTCTCTCCCAGAAGTACAAGCAAGAACTTTTCTAAAAGTCTCATAACTCTTGTCCTATTTATTTTCTTACTACAGGAATAATTATTGTCAAGGGAGATGCAAGTATTCTTAAATTAATGAGGCCCACCCCAAGGCTGAGACTGTAGTCAGTTCTCCAAATTACATTGCTGTTACTCAGTTAGGAAGGGGTTATATAGAGTAGACAAGTGCAATGTCTACAACCCCAAAAGATGAACATTCCCCAAAGTTATCCACTTATAAACTGCTGCTTGATTAACTTTGAAAATGCTTTTATAACAACCTGTTGGGGTAGGTATTATTGATCTCAACTTTAAAGATGTTGATACTGAGACTCCAAGAAGTTAAATGACTTGCCCAGGTTACACAGTAAGGAATTGACTAAGTAAGGACTCAAATCTATGTCTTCTGATTTCAAGGT